GGGGAAAACAAAGGAGGCACCTTGGCCAGGTGACTTCCTCAATAGACCTCTCAGTTCAGCCATCAGGAAAATGGGTGGGCAGAGGATGGACTTGGTGGGGGGCAGGGGAAGGACTTGGTGAGCTGGTCTGTAAGGCCCCTTTTTCAGCTGCAGAGTTTATTTTAAGGTATTCTACTTTATCATTAAAAATGTACACTCTCTTCCTTTATTGTTCCTGGAACTTGCTTCCCTGACAGTCATTTATTAAGGCACAAAGAATTAAGTTCTTGTTTTCTAAATACCTTCTTTTCTAGCCCCACCAGTTTCAGTAAAATGATCTGAGGAAAGACAAGGCAAACTGAATTTTCCCCTCAAATCATCCAGGTGCCAAGACTGATCCAAACAGCCGAGGGCTGCTCAATTAGCACTTTCTCCGGCTGTCGATAGCCTCAGTGGGAGTCCATACCCTCTGACAGTCCCTCAGTTAAGTTAACCCCACAGGCTGGGGAAGGTTTTCTTCCCTGCCATCACACACAGCAAGCATTTTCTCTTCTCTGCTCGAACTAAGATGTTCAGACTTGCCCCAGACAGCTTCTTTTAAAAGCAAGCAATTCAGAAAAACCTGGATTGAGAAGATGTGGGGATATCTCTTCCTAACGGCGGTTCTTCAATGGAATACAAACTTCCTGAGGATCACAGCTATTTCATTTTGTCTCTGTATTCTCAGTATCTAGCAAAAAGTCGAACAGTTAGAATTGGAAGGGATTTTTGAGGTCATCTCACTGGAAGCCAGCACTTTACACATGGGGAAACTGGTGTCAGAGAAGGTAAGGTAACATAAATGGTGGAATCAGGATTCAACCTCTGGACTTTGGAGTCCTGAAACTCCAAATTTAAGCACTATCTCTACTATACCATACTGCCTCAGACACAGTGCTTGACAAATAGTAAATAACTCATTAATAGTAGTAAATGCGAATACTAATGCTAATAATAGTAAATAATTCAATAAATATTTGTTAAATTGAAACCGAGAAACCTATTTCAAATGAGTCTCTCAAAGGGACTACAGACAGTGTTACTGTATCTTTAAGAACCAATTGGAATGTTGTGGATAAAGCAATTTGTGCTGCCTCAGATGTGGTGCCTGACAAATAGAAGGTATTCAATAAATGCCTGCTGAATTGGATTGAATTTATATACTTTGTAGGGGAGAAAATTTCCACCCATAGCCTATCATTTAATTCCAAGGCCTAAAAGCTAAGGGGGCTTTTCTCAGTCTTTACAGACAGCCATGAAAGACTTATAATAGAGAAACATTCCAGACTAGAAAGTCAGAACTTATATTCAGCATCAAGTTTACCTATATGGAATAAAATGAGGAAGCAAGCTACCATCTTCTACCAGAGCTGTGTTTATAAGTGCTCCTCTGTTAAAGTGGTTTCACTACTTCCACATAAGGAAGCTATGAAGATATTATCATTTAATGGTATTTCTCTGGTAGCCTGGACACCAATACCAAATGAGCATGCAATATGTAACTCCTACTCTACAAAGCTAAAATAATGTGTTATAAACACTCTGGGACTTTTATCTTCCATCTCAGGCTGAGCAAAATCATCTTCGTCTGGCAATCTGCATAATGGACATGAGTAGTGCTGGCTTTTAAATTCCAGGTTAGAAGAGCAGAACTTTAAAAGCCATATACAGCTGAGTCAAATGCATACTCCCATACTCTATAATTAGCTAGCATAACAACAATAAATATATAATTTAAAGGGAAGACAGGTAAGGGAACATTAACCATCCCCTTTTCCTCTGCCAGTCAACATTTAGGATTCGGCTGTGCAAACTCTAACCTCATTGGCCTTGGGGGTATTTTTCATATTAACAAAAGGTTTGGATTTCTGGGTTCCTTCCCCAAGCAGTTTGTTTCTCTCTCTAACTAGCTTTCAGGCAAAAGTAATTAATTGCTCTTCTTCTAAACATTCATTTTATTTTGTCTAAATAGACTCAATAAATCAGACCAGTTATTGTTTCAAGCCTTTCTCTCTGTCTCTCTCTCTCCCTCTATTATCATGTATTCAAAAAGAGTGTGCAGGGAACCAGGAGGTGATGAATGGCCATGGAGATGGTGAAATGTAAAAGGGGAAATATTCTTTCCAATTAGAGAAGTTTGCTACCTCAGAGTGTCCAGTTACCTTAACTACTTCACTTTTGGTCAGCTTTTTTTTTTTTTAATGCATGTAGGCTTATAAATTGGCTTCCAAGTAATATCCTTGATAGTATCAAATATTCATCCTGAATGGAAAGCCCCCAAAAGTTTACACAGGATGAGAATTAGCTCAGTTGTATGAGCACCCATAGTTCATGGAAGACACCTGCTTTCTGAAATCAATAGGCAGTCGGGAAACAATGGAAAGAGCATTGGATTTGTAGTCAGAGGTCCTAGGTTCAAATCTACACCCATCTCCTTCCTACCTACCCATTTGACCTTGGGTGGGTCACTAAATGTCTCTATACATCTTGGTTGCCTCAATAAGAGAATAGTAAATGGCCCCCTTGCAGCCCTGACCCAATGACTGAATGACCTTGAAGTCAAGATACTGTATCCCAGTACTTCAAGTGCTGTATGTATGATATTGTTAGTTTTGGTCATCCTGTATTTTCATGATACCTGAGGAAGCAGCTCCTGCTCTATCATTTTCCATTTGCATCTGCAGCGAGAGACTCCAGAGGTCGAGTGACTTGCTCAGAGCTGGAGGCTGAAAACCACAGGCAGCAGCTGTGTGCGAATGGCAAATTTCAACACTCATCTATTTATTGTTCGATGAACAAATATTTATGGAGCACTACGTTCAAGACACGGTGCTAGGTGCCAGAGAGGGGAAAAAGGAGAAAATCTCCTTACCCTGACAGAAGTTATAATCTATTAGGAAAGATAAAATACATGCACACCAGGAACCGCAGCACACCTGTTCTTTGCTTGGTATGGCTAAAACATTGGGCTTGGGAGTTCAAATCTTGTCCCGGACACTTAGTAATTGTGTGATACTGAACAGATCCTGTCAGTCTTTCTCGGCCTCAGTTTTCTCATCTGTGAAACGAGGATAGGAATGCTTAGCTCACAGAGATATTATACGGATCAAATGAGATAATATATATAAAGCACTTTGTAAACCTTAAAGTGCTATACAAATCCTATCCATCACCACCACCACTATCATCATCACCATCATCATTCTAAACCACTGCTGGTATTACTGAAGGAGCTGTCCTTTAACTCCAAAGTGTCCTCTTCTCTTGAGGAACTCATAGTTTCCTGCTTAGGAATCTGAAAACTGGCTGGAAACCACCCATTGCCTGCCTGTCTAAGTTCCTGGTGTTCCTGTTTGTGACATCACCAAGCTGGTGTGGAGGAAACCACAATTACTAGTTGTGGCAACATCCACAAAAGCCCTGGATCGGTTTCAGGTGGGGCCGAAGCAGCAGGCCTACCAGATTGGTGGGGGGAGGAGAAGGAGAGAAGAGGTCCCTTGATTCATGCAATTTGCTTTAGCAGTACAATAATTACAAACAAAAACACACTGGAGCAATCCCATTTGGGTCTGCACAGAGGAAGCTTGGGCTATTAAAAAAATAATTTTATTGCTTTCCATGGATTTTGGATGAAGATAAACAAAGCTGCTTTCTCAATATGTTAACCCTCACAAAAACTGAGCTCTTTCCGATGTTTCTATAATGTGCTGTCTGGCCTTCTTCCATTCCCTCATTTGCCTAGCTGCCCCCAAACTGCCTTCCAATCAGATTACAGGGATGTCTTAGCACAGTACCACTTTAAATATTTTATGTTATGCCAATTCCTGAAACTGGAAACTGGGAGGCAGTTTGCTGTTGAATACGTTTTACACACTAAACATTATGGGGAAGGTGGGTTAAGTGTTTGCCTTTTGCCCCCTGCACTGAAACCACGCCATTCTCTAAGGAGCACCAACTACCTAGCGGTTTTCCTCCCGTCCTCCTGCTTTCTCTCTCCTTTGCCCTACAAAGTACATACCTGCCCTACAGCATCTAGCTCTTCAATACTGGCACCTAATGTTCCATGCAGTTAAGGCCTCCCCAGGAAAACACATGAGGTTTTGTTAATAATCAAAGGCTGGTAGGACTTTTTAAAAAATCAGGCCCTTGAATGGGGCAAAGTGCCTCTTTTGGGAAAGGTGGGATTGGAAAGGACTAATCTCTCCCTCTAGCTTAGTGCTGTGTTTAACCAATGCCCTTCACCTCACGTGGGTGCCTAGGCCCAGGGTAAATTGCAAGAGGACCTCACAGTGTCTCTGTCCTTGTGGCTCTTGTCTTCCCACCAGTTCCTTAAGCTCTCAACTTTTGTTATCTGAATGGGGAGGGGTGGTGGACTGAATGGAAGAGGGAAAAGGGTTGGGAGGAACCAAGTCAACTTCTTCTGACTTTACCCCCATCTGTACTTATCCGAGTGGTGACGGGGCCAGAACCACAGACAGCGACAATCCACACAGTCCACAGTGAAGGTGTCCACCAAACTTAGAAATCATCCTGGGCAATTAGTATAACAGAGGCAAAAACAATCTTTGTCCAAGGAAGGACCGAGATGTATAGAAATATATCGCTGATTCTCAAGTCTGCGTTAAATATAGTGCCAAGGAGCTCAAAAAACAGCACCGAAGATAACCCTCTGTATGTCCCTACGAAGGCCACATAGGTTGTCCACACCAAAGAGAAGCACCGGTTTTTGCAGCTTCAGGTCCTCCAAAGGCGAGGGGGCTAAAGAGCAGGATGGTGACCTAACAGGCACTTGACCCCTTTGAAGATGTTACAGTGTGGTTATACTAATCCAGTTACCTTGCATGTCAAATCCTCAGGTCTCCCCAGAGCCCCAGCACACCTAACGTCTCCACCCTAGGAAATGTCGCCCCTGAGGAGAATCCTAATGGATAAGACCCACCAGCCCTGCCCTCCCAACACGACGGTGGGGCCCTGGTTCCTACCGTTAGCGTTCTTGCCGCAGATCAGATGCTCATAGGGCTGCAGGACCCCCCAGAGCTCGGCGTCATTATTGATCACCATCTCGAGAGCCTCTGCTGACACCTCCCCACTCCCGCCGTCGGGGCTCTGGCTGGCCGCCAGCACCCGAGCCCGAATCTCCTGCACCAGGTTTTCCATGCACGCCGTGAGCGTGATGGCTGCGTACTCGTGGATGCGAACGGAGATGCGAGTGTCCACCATCCAGCGGAAGAAGCGACCCACGGAGAAGGTGAGGCCGCAGCGCGCGGACTTGCCCTGGCGCAGCCCGTCGCCCGCGCTCATGCTGTAGAACGACAGCGCCTTAACGGCGGCCAGCGCGCAGCTCTCGGCCAGCGCCCAACTGTGGACGAGGCGCACGGCGCTCTGCACCTCGAAGCGGGTACATTTGGCGTGGAGGACGCTCAGGCGCTGCGCCTCGCGGGCCACGCGGATGAGCGCCCGGCGCAGCAGCAGCGCCACGCGCCGCCCGGCCTCGGCAGAGAAGTGGGGCAGCCGCCGCGCCCCGGCCCCTTTGCGCAGCACCCGCAACACGTCCGCCTCCGTCCAGGGGAACTCCTCCAGCTCCGGCAGCCGCGGGCAGCGCGAGAAGAGGTCGGCCACCTCGGGGTCCTCGGGCAGCACGGTGTTGACGGTGTCCCAGCTGTTGTGGCGGCTGTTCATGGAGCCCGAATAGCACCACCAGGCCGCCCCCCGGTGCTGCTGCGCCGACGACGTGAGCGCCTGCGAGTTGGACTTGGACGAAGACAGGCTAAGAGAGCGGCAGGAGTCCCCGGCCCCATACCCGGAGTCCAAGGTCAAGTCCTCCAGAGTCTTCAGGGTAGAGCTGTACGTGCCGGCCATGGAGGAACCTGGCCGCGGGGCTCTGCGCTGGGAGTGGGGGAAGAAAGGACGTTCACAGCTCCATGGCCCCGCGCGCCCCTCCTCGCAGCCCGGCACAAGCCCGTCCGTCTGGCCGGCCGGCCGGCTGCCGCCTGCCGAGGCTCTAGGCGCGCTCGGGCGTCCTCCTCCTCTTCTGCCCCACGGCCCCAGGGGCCTGCATCGCCCGCCCGCTTCCGAGGAGAAGCTGAGTGAGGACGATCCCGGGAAGCGGGTTCCAAAGCCGCCCCGGCTCCGAAGAGGAGCGGTCAGCCGGCGGCGCAGCGAGAGGGGAAGCCCTCCCCGCGCTTCCCTCCTCGGCAGAACTTGTGGCTTTTGGCAAGGCAAAGCGCCCGTCCCCTCCGGGGGAAGGATCCAGACGCAACGGGGAGGGCTTTCGTGCGGCTGGGGTAGAGCGATCGAGGAGAAGGAGGAGGAGGAGGAGGAGGAGAAGGAGGAAGAAGAGAGCAGACCGAGAAGGCGAGTCCCTTACCGGCCGCGGAGACAAGCACTGGGCAAACTTCTGCGAGGAGCCGCGCGGCACAGCTGGCCACCGGGGCGGGCCGCCCGCATGCAAATGAGCACCGGATGGCCAACCAATAGTCGGCTCCGACAGGAAAGCTGTCCGCCACTGCACTCCTAGGGGGGCGGTCACTATGCAAATTAAAGCTCGACGTCGAGAAACTGGGAGGAGGAACCGGAGGCGGGTCCCAGTAGGGGGAGGAGAGGAGCGGAGGAGAGAGGGAAAGACAGAAAGAAGAGTGCAGGAAGGAGGTGAGGAGAGAGGAAATGTTAGGTGTTAGCACAAAGGAGGCTAGGGGACGTTTAAAGGATTTATATTTCCTTTCATTCCGGTATTATGCCAATCAAACCGCAAACCTTTTGAAGTGCCTACTGTGTGCTACCATATAGCACTATGGTAGACGCTTGGGGATGCAAGGGAAGAATGAAATGGTCCCTGTGCTCCAGGAAGGAAGGAAACAAACATTTCTTCGATGCATACTATGTGCCAGGTGCTTTACAAATATCTTATTTTAGTCTTACAGCAATTCCGGGAGGTGGATGCTTAGCTGATAGTTTCACCACCCCACCCCACACACACTTTTTTTTTTTAACAGCTGAGGGGCTTTTTAGAATCACACTGCTAGTAAGTATCCGAGGTTAGATTTGAACCCAGGTCCTTCTAACTTCAGGCCCAGCTTTCCAATTTCAGAAAATTGCCTTCTTACATTCTATAGCGGGAGGGGAGTTATACACGTATCAGTAGGGGGACCTCTACTCAAACTAGAGACAAGGTAGTAGGGAATCGGTGGGTGGAGAGGGCATTAGTAGCCTGGAAATCTCTCCTGGCTCTTGAGTTAAATATTGAACGCAGCTAGGAACTAGTAAGTGCGAAAGTTAAACTGTTCTGTCTGGTACTGGATACGGAAGGCTGTGTATGTATTGAATAAAACTGGGACGTCAAAGCTTAGCTGTGAGTCAGCTCAGTTAGCTGAGGAGAGGGGAGAGAGACAGAGAGAGAGAGACAGACAGAGAGAGTATGTGTAGGCGCACCAGCCCTGGATTGAGATTCGGAGTCAAGAAACTTGGATCCCAATCTAGGTGCTGCCACATTCTTATCCAGGTGACCTTCATCTTCCTGGTCTTCAATCTATAAAATTAGAAGGGGGATTCTCAGATGATGCCTCGGTCCCCCTTTCAGTTCCAAATCTTACACTGAAAAGGATTCCACCCCTCTCCTTTTCTTCACATCCCTAGTTCACAATGCCTTTCACGTAGTTGATCAATCACAAGCATTTATTAAATGCCTGCTCTTGGCTGGGCCTGGATAATTATAGATCACATTTATATAGCTCTTTAAAGTTTGCCACTACATGTATTATCTCATTTAGTCTGTACAACAACTCTGTGAGGCAGGCACTCAGGTACTGAGGTGAGTATTCATATCCCCATTTTACAGATGAGGAGTCAGAACTCAGAGATGTTAATTGACTTGCCCATGGTCACAGAGCTAGTAAATACCTCATGCAGGATTCAAATTCAGATCTTTCTTCCTCTAAGACCAACATTCTATCCACAAACTCAGGCTTCCTCCTCATTGTGATTGGTGTATTTCTAAGCTTTTATTCCAATATCAATTTATTAAAAGTGCTACCTTGTACCAAAACCTTGTACCAACCCTTTTACCCTTTGAGTGATACATGTTGAAAACGTGTCTCTAGATTGTTGTTGGTTGCTTTATATTTCTTTTATACCTCTCCTTCAGTGCCTGGTACAGGGCTAAGCTCAGAGTAATCACTAAAGGGGCAGCTAGGTGGTGCAGTGGATAGAGTACCAGCCCTGAAGTCAGGAGGACCTGAGTTCAAATCTTGCCTCAGGCCAAACACTTGACACATACTAGCTGTGTGACCCTGGGCAAGTCACTTAACCCCAACTGCCTTTGAAAAAAAAAAAACAAAACAAAAACAAAACAGAGTAATCACTAGAAAAAAACTGAGACTCTCACAATAACATAATTTGCTATATAGGCATAGTGTAGAAGTCTGCACACAGCCACTTTATCTTGGAGATGGTCCAAGAGGGTTTTACTACTGAAAGTAAGATGTGGTCTGGTAAAATGGAGGAAAAATGGGGAATCAGGCTCCTTAGAACCTAGAACTGGAAGGGACCTTTGTCTTTAGACCCATCTGGTCCAGTTTCTTCACTTTACAGGCATCTTTCCCAAACACTCCCAAAGGTAGAGAGTAGCATGGGTGGTATTTGAATCTAGTTCCTCTTAGTGCCAAATCCAGCACTCTCTTCTCCACACTGTGTTCCACCTGACTGTGTGACCTTAAACAAGCCAACTGAACGTCTCCAAGCCTCAGCTTCCGCTTGCGTCAAGTGAGTGATGATTTTTACAAGGCTCCTTGCAGTTTCCTCTAAAGCGATCATTCAATGTAGGGCAGTTGAATGGCTCTCACCAATCAGCACTCTCATTTATTTTCAGGTACCAGCAAATCTGTCCTTGCTATGCTTACATTTCCTATTCTGGTCTGTAACTATGAATATACATGCACAAGAATACACACACACACACACACACACACACACACACACACACATATATATACACATACATATATATATATATATATATACATACATACATACATATATATTCCTCCCTCCAGTGGTATCATAAAATGAATGAAGGGATTGTAAATGTGTTTCCTGATGTCAGCAACCCCTACTTATGAATGGTTTCTTTGTGCTGTTTTACACAGTTCTGACCTTGGACCGTGAGTTGGATATGAACTAGAAATGTCTGGTTTGTTTCTTTCCTCTCTAAATTAATGGTGCTTTTCTCTCTGAAGCTGCTATTTATTAGGATGGATCGCCTTGAGCTCCCCTTCCATAGTTCTTGAAGCAACACTGCCCCCTATTGTCATCTAGCTCCTACTGAAACAAAAAAAGTATGAGGGACGGAAAACGTGAAAAAGGGCAATGCCAGGGAATCATAAACTAGACTGAAAACAAAGAAAAGAGAGAACAAAAAAGTAAAGATTTGAGGGAACCAGGAAAATGAAGGAAACATGCATTTATTAATTGTCTACTGTGTATCAGGCACTTTACAAATATCTCATTTAATCCTGAGAGGTAGGTGCTATTTTTACCCCCATTGTATAGATGAGCAAATTGAGGCAGGCAGAGGTTAAGTAACTCACCCATGGTCACACACCCATGTAATCTTAGTGCCTTCCCTTTAAAATTATCTCCAATTATTCCTGTCTATATCTTGTTTGTACATAGGTTTCTGCATGTGTTTTCCTCATTAGAGTATGAGCTCCTTGAAGGTAGGGACTGTCTTTTGCCTTTCTTTGTATTTCCAATGCTTGGGACAGCTCTTGGCACACAGTAGGCGCTTAATAAATGCTTTTTGCTTTGACTTGAAAAAGAAAGGTAAATGTTGCCCTCTACTGGACAGTTAGAGAAATCTAATATGGGATTTGCTATGACAACTACTACTGAATACGAAGATCCCATGAACTGGAAAGGTCCTTAGAAGATGCCTAGTCCAAACCCCTCATTTGTCCCTCAGGTAAGGAAACTGAGGCTCAGGGAGGTATTGTAAGTGGCAGAACTGGGATTTGAACCCAGCCAATTGACTCCAAACCCTGCACTCTGAAGTCTGAAGAGTAGAGTCCAAAGGGTGGGCCACAGCTACATGACTTCAATAATATGTCAACGAAGAAGCATTGATTAATGGTGGTCATGTGTACATGTTTACCCAAATGGAAGGGTCTGTGATGGTGGTAGAGACCAAGTGATCACCACCATAAATTATAGAAAAGTTATCCTGAATGAGTTGGGATACAGTGATCGCTGCAAATTATGCATTGAAAAGGTAAGCACTCTTCGATATATCATTGTAAACTGCAAAAAATTCCCTTCTCCTGCAAAGACATGATCAGGGGATGAAACATAGAAGCTCCCTATCTTTCATAAGCCAGCAGTCAACACATTATCATTTTACAACTACAGATCACAAAAAAATGTCCTTGAGAATTCAGCCAGCAAGCTATATGAGAATCAGATTATTGTCAAAGACAAAATGGTTATTAACCATTGTTCAGACACAGCATTGTTCCATAAAAATGAAAGATCATTTTAAATAGCTCTCACCATGTTGAACATTCAGAATCTCCAAACTACATGAAATGGAAAGCTTGCAAAATATAGAGACTTAAAAGAAGAAATCAAAACAGTGTGGGAATAGGATGAGTTAAACATTATCAGTTATTCTGACTGCTACTGAAGGTATCCTGAGGATGATTTCAGTATGCCTACAGAAGATGAGCTGATATCTCCATACTTTTATTCCATTACAAAAAGCAGGCATTTTATCTGCTTGTACAATAGTCTGCAGAACATTAAGCATAAAAGAATAATATCAGGATAATGACTTATCCCAGGATGGTTTTTAATCTTAACTCTATCAAAAAAGATGAGATTTCTAAAAAATAATAATAGAAAGTATACATTTATATAACTTTCACAATGCATTTCCACACAACTCTGTGAGGTAGATAGCATGAGTAGAAAAAT